TACTTTAATAAATGTTTGAGAAAACTTTGCAATAAATTATTGTAACAATTTGTTTTCCACAGATAAAATTTGAATTTCCACCTATTTGGCCTGATATTAAAACTGAATTAACAGAGTATATTGAATGTTTGGACAATCTTCCAATATATCATGTAGACAAGACACAATGTTATTGGTCAAGAGAACCTGATTTTTTATCACTTTTTGATGTTGACCAAGCACCACTTGGGACTACATTAAAATTTGACCGTGATCCTATTACTGGAAAGCTTGGAGATATGAATGAGGTTGTTTTAAAATCAACAGGGGAAACTGCACAAAATTCAATGTCTATGACTCGTGCACCAGAACCAACTGCTCATTATATTAAAGGTGTGATAAAAAAAATTCCATAATATCATATGGACTTTATTAATGTTTTATGAATAAAACAAAATATAAAATTTTTTTACAGGAAACACTAGTAATATTCCATTTTGGCCAGGTGGTTTTGATGAACCAAAAATGACAGTAGATTCATCAATGGAGGAAATTGACTTTGAAAACAATTTAAGAACATTAGCAAAAGGATTCAGTGCTGGTGTAATATTTAAAAGTGACAATTTTACTGTAAAGGAAGGGACAATGGAGGAACAGGAACCATCAGGCTCAGAAAGAAATGATATTGAAGTTATAGCAGACAAAATCAATTTAATGGCTATTGTAAATGAAGAAAAAAATGAACTTGATTTCTGGAAGTCAGAAACAACAGAAACAAAGGAAGAAACTGAAACTGCGTTTTCACCTTTTCAAGAATCGTCATTTGACAAAATTGCTCCTTTATTAGAAGAAACAGATATTTCTGTTCTAAAAATTTCGGAAAAACGCGCTGAAACTGCAAAATTAAAATGGGCAGAACAAATAAATGTGTCTGTTCCAGCAACTGATTTTGAGAAACGAATTCCTCAACTAGCAATGAGTTTTCCATATGAATTAGATACTTTCCAGAAACAAGCAATACTTAAATTAGAAGAAGGCTCTGACGTTTTTGTTACCGCTCATACCTCGGCTGGAAAAACGACGGTAGCAGAGTATGCAATTGCATTAAGTCAGAAACACATGACGAGGTAAAACCTGGCATTTTAAATATCAAATTTAAACATTAGTTATTCATATTTATTTCTTATAGGGTGATTTACACGTCTCCTACAAAAGCGCTTTCAAATCAAAAGTATCGAGATTTCACAAAGAAATTCGAAAGCGTAGGTTTGTTAACGGGAGATCTACAGATTAACCAGAAAGCTTCGTGTCTCATCATGACCATCGAAATTTTACAATCCATGTTGTACTGTGCATCGGAAGTTTTAAGAGATTTAGAATTTGTTATATTTGACGAAGTGCATTATATTAATGATGACGAGGTAAATAAACATTCAATGCTACATGTTTTTTTTTAATTATGCACCTAACTTTAATACATTTTATTGCTCTATGTTATTTTAGCGTGGTCATGTTTGGGAAGAAACTGTAATCCTTTTACCGCAAACAGTTACAATAGTAATGTTATCAGCAACTGTGCCAAATCCTTTAACATTTGCAGATTGGGTCGGACATACTAAAAAGAAAAAAATGTACGTAATAAGCACTGTACAACGACCTGTACCGCTTCAACATTATTTGTACACTGGAACTGATGGTATTACTAGAAACGACATATTTTTGGTCCTGGATGAACGCAATCAATTTCTATTAGATAGGTAATCATTGCCTCTTTTTATCTTTAATTGAAACTTTTAATTAAAATGTTTCAATATTGTTATAAATATTGTTTCAGCTGGTATAACGCAACAAAGGCAAAAGAACCGAAAAATACAAGCACCAAAAATATGAAGCAAGTTAGGAGGAAACCACAGCAACAAAAAATGACTCCTAAGCAGGAACAAGTATTGTGGAACGCTTTCATAAGTCATTTAAAAGCCAAAGTACGATTAGTACTCGTATTTAACAAATTTTTATTATTTAAATAAACGTATATAAATGACTAAATTCATTGTTTTAGAACATGTTACCTGTTGTCGTATTCATGTTATCACGAAAGCGGTGTGATATGAGTGCTGTATTATTAAGAAATATCAATCTTACAAGTGAGACTGAAAAGCACACTATTAGAGTCTTCTTTCAAAATAATATTCGACATTTAAAAGGTACTGATAGACAATTGCCACAGGTACTTTTGATGCAAGAATTATTACAAAATGGAATTGGCATCCATCATAGTGGTATATTGCCTATTTTAAAAGAAATAGTGGAAATGCTTTTTCAAAGTGGAGTAGTAAAGGTCAGCTTCAAAGTATATCCTTTTTTTAGTGAATTTGTAAATAATTTTTTAGAGGGTTTAAATATATTTATATTTATGATTTTACAGTTACTATTTGCGACAGAAACATTTGCAATAGGTGTAAATATGCCAACACGTACTGTAGTCTTCGATTCTATTAGGAAATACGATGGTAATAATTTTCGGATACTTTATCCTACCGAATATATACAAATGGCTGGTCGAGCTGGTCGCAGAGGTCACGATACAGCTGGAATGGTTATAGTGATGTGTCGAACATCTGTGCCACATTTTAATGAGTTAAGAAATATGATGTGTGGTCAAGCTCAAAATTTGGAATCCAAATTTAAAGTAACATATTCCATGGTATTAAATCTTCGAAGGCTAAACGAATCGGTAACGGTTGAAGCAATGATAAGACGTTCCTTTAAAGAATTGCCAGTAACTTTGAAACAAAGTGCTTACAAAACCGAATTGGAAAAAGTAGAAAATGATCTATGTAATTTACCACCTCTAACTGATCTACAGAAAAAACTGTCCAATTTTTATAAAGTGGCTACTGAATATCTAGAATACCTCAAGTATTTGAAACCTACCATATGCGAGAGACAGAAAAAGGCAGTAAAATGTTTAACACCCGGTAGAATTTTGTTAATATCTTTCGAAAATCATTATAATAAATTGGCTTTGTTATTGAGCACTGTTCAGAGTAAAGGTAGTGTGCACTACAGGGTGTTAATTCTTAAAAATGCCGAGGTACCAAAATCTACTGAAGAGAAACAATCAGAAGTAAAAAATCAGAAGTTTAAGGAATCAGATAAATGGTACGATATTGTTGCTCTAACAAAAAAAGAACTGTTTGTACCAGTTGGAGTTCCATCAGATGAAGTGTTGACTATAGCTGCGTGGAATATATTAGAAATAACAAATTGTCAAATCAAAATAGATTGTAATTTGATTCTAGCAAATTGGGAAAAGAGACAAATATTAAGATTCAAGTAAGGCAAATTAATTTAAATCAAACGCATCTGCTCTATAGGTTATACAATATTTAAATGAACTTTTTTTTTTAGAAACGACCCTCCTAGCCAAACTTGTCAAATAGCCCTACAAGAATTAATGACATTATCTCTTAATGCTTCTCGCGATTCTTCTATCTTACAACCATATGTAGAGATGAAATTAAATTTCGATGACAACATTCAGCTTTTGCTCGATTTAAAGAAAGCTGTGCATGACACGAAGTGCACGGAACTATTAAATTTTGAAGAGCAATTCGAAGTTGTATTTGAACGAAATGAGTTGGAGAATAAGAAAAATAAACTTCAGCAGAAACTTAGCGATGAAGGATTGAGTTTATATCCCGAGTACACAAATGCTGTTGCTCTTCTTAGTGATTTGGGATATATAGATAATGACGAAAGAGGTTTGTACTTCGATTCATTTACAAAGACCAATGATACAGGATAACAATGTATAATACTTTTATATGATATTTTACAGTTGCATTAAAAGGTCGAGTAGCTTTACAAATGGGAAGTAACGAATTGTTAATCACAGAACTTATTCTTAAAAATGTATTAACTGTACTTGAGCCAGCTGAAATAGCGGCCTTATTGTCTACTTTAGTATTTCAACAACGGACGGATGTTGAACCAAATCTAACAGCAGAATTAAAAAGGGTATACTAGTTTTTAATACAATCTAAGGATTTACTTTATCTAAAATATTACGTTCGCTAAAATATTTATATATTTTTCTATTGCAGAGTTGTGAAGTACTAAAGGTAATACATGCTGAATTTGAAAGTTTAGAAAATCAATATAAGCTATCAACGCTACAACCACTGAACTTTGGTTTAGTAGAAGTAGTTTATGATTGGGCACAAGCAAAATCATTTGCCGAAATCATGGAGAAGACAGACGTACAAGAAGGAATCATAGTACGATGTATTCAACAATTAAGTGAAATATTGCGAGATGTTAAAAATGCAGCGACCACAATAGGCGATCCCGTTTTAAAGACAAAGATGGAAGAAGCTTCTACTGCCATTAAGAGAGATATTGTTTTCACAGCATCATTGTATACACAGAATTAATCAGTTAACAAAACCTATGTACAGTAATTTATTTGTATGTGTATAAACGTTTAGAATATTCGTAATTTTGATCGACGAAAGATATCTATATTTTTATAATTTTAATAACTGTTTGTTAAGCACACGTTGTTAAAAAAAATGTATGGTATAATTATTCTTTACCATCAATGTAAAGTACGGAAATTTAATTTTGTCTTGTAAATTATATTTCTTTATGTATAAATATATGATAAGAGTACAAACGGAATAAAATTACTATTAATGTTGAACAATCTTTTATTTTACAAATGCTTATTGGTAAAAAGTATTAGCCTATATTTTATTTTCAGATATTACAATGCACGCTGATCTGTGTTATTAAGATTTCCTTGACCTTTATTTGTCTCAGAAATGCATGTCCACTGTCCTTCTGTATTTTCACGCCAAAGGGATACTTTATTATCCCCACCACTTACAGCTAAAATACCTCCAGTTAACGACCAACTAACATTCCAAATGACATCATTAAAGACATTGAGGATTGTTGGTGTCCAACTGGTATAATCATTAGAGGTCCATACAATTACACGACGATCTTGGGAACAAGAAGCTAAAGCAGCTTTGGATGGACCAACTGCAGGTGCCCATGCAACATCCCTTACCTGAAAGAAACAGAATTGTTATATTTCTTTAACTTACATCTCTAAACTTGAAAAATAATAAATGTTTTACCCAATCACTGTGTGCTTCAAGTTTATCTTCTTCAATCCACCTATCACCTTCTTCTTTCCAAATTTTAACTAAGTAGTCACAACCTCCTGTGGCTAATCTCTTTACTGGTCCATTTCTTTGTGTTCCACTGCCATCAAAGCTGGGCTCAATAGCAGGACACCAACTTACAGCATTACATCCAATGGTATGGGCATTTGTAATTTTCTGTGTATCCCATGTGTCTCCATTATTAGTAAGTATAGATACTGAACCATCAGAGCTACCACAGGCTAAAATCAAGCCAAATTCATGTGGTGCCCAAGCTACAGAATTAACAGAGGAATCATGTCCAGTATGTTCATAAATCTTGGTCCATTCTCCAAGTTCCTTCCAAATAATTACTTTTCTATCATAAAAAATAATATCAAATCACTTTAAAACAAAATAAACCATTTGATTTGCAATGTAATTTGTACTAAGAACAATACATCAAACATTATTGAACTTCAACAGATAGTAATATACCGATCATAACTGCAAGATGCTAAAAGGTTTCCAAATTTGGGATGTGCCCAAGCAACTTGCCATACGGGTCCAACGTGTCCCTTCAAATCGGCTACTAAACTTTGTGATCCGTTTTTTAAATCAAAAATTTTTACCGAATTGTCACTGGAGCAAGTTGCTAACCTCAAACCATAGTAATCCATTTCCGCGTCATGAATCATGTCTTCATGACCGGTATCAACCGTATTCAAGACAGATACCATTTTTACGACACTTTTCACTTAAATTTTTACAACAATGTTTTAAAAATTACAACCAAACTAACGTGCAACTACAAGCTCAAAGAGGTTATGTTGTCCACTGTCTGTCACTTACGTGGAAGCATATGCGCACTAGCGGTTAACGCATAGCTGCTTTGCGCAATTTGCGCGTAAATGTCAGTGCCGTTATATTATACAACAGTTAAATTAAACATAAACTTTTCATTTCAACATTATTGAGTCAAATTATGCGTACGATATTCGTTTACTATCTCCGAATAATAAAAACTAACGTTCATTAAAAATATTTTAAAGAATAAAAATATGCATGCAATATTTTTCTTGTTAAAATACAACGGCTATACTATTCCTTATAATATTAGATTGCAAGGCACATATACATTATTGTTCTTTATTTAAACTTGAATAAATCCATATATAAAATTACTTGTTATATCGTATATGCTGTTATCATTAACAACTGTAACGAATTCACTTTATTACCTAATTGGAGTAATTTAATCGCATTACAATTTAATTAAAGAATATTTTCGAAGCAATTACGACCCCATTTTAGCATAAATTACATCGATCTAATGCATGGTTTTACGGATATCTGAACATCGTCCGTCGTTAACTGATCCTAACTTAAGTCACCGAAGCGTTACCGGAAACACGTTGCCTGTAACACATATACCATGTGTAGCAGGTCTAACGCACACAAATGTTATTAGTTTGTCGTAATTCACGAAACTTCGGTGCAACATAACACGAAACGTTCGTGCCAGCTTGTCCCTCCCGGCATGCCGATAATGACAAGGCTTCTGGCGTTCTGTTGATAAGATGGATAATTGATATACCGTTCCCTAGACACACACCTATACATTGTGTACGTACTTTCGTGCATATATGCATATGTGTGCACGTGACATGTAACGCTGTAGGGGGCTATAAAATTTTCAATGTACTACACGGTCCAGTGACGATTACTGTTCCTGCTAATTACGTTCACCCCTACAGACGGCAATAAAATCACGACTGGAATTGTTTATCGATTGGGCAGTAGACAGAACGTTGATCCCTTGGTGAGTTAGGTGGAGTAACCGACGGAAGAAGAAACGAATATGATAGTTCCGCTTCCTTATGTTGATCTTTCGCGCTGCAATAACTTCCGATTGTGTACCCAACAAGAAGAGAATGTATGAGTGGCATACGTTGGAAAATGGAACGTGCACCGTGGCACACGATGTTTCGTAAGGAAACTTTCGTCATGGTTTAACGAGCCCGCTACTAATAATTCTGTGTTATTATCCAAGTTATTTTCCATTATTTACATTCTTCGCCGTGGTAATTATATTTATGCTGGAAACTAAGGAGAACATATTGTTCCAGGGTCTTGCTAGTCTCCTATTCGTCCCTGGCGCAGGTGTAGAATATACGAAATGCATTCATGAACTTTTCCTGATTCGCCAGAAAGAAACTAACATGCACCGCTAATATGCCTATGTGACGCTACACTCGGCTTTTACGGCTTTGTCGCGTTGCTCCTTCTTTCAACTTGGAACGAGATGAAAGCGTTAAAAGTAGTAATCGCTTATTAAAATTGCATTATTCCTATTTTCGTTAGGACACCAATGAAAATGTAGGTCTCTACTTTCCGACTTTTACGGACGGATCATAAAAGACACATAACGTTGTAACTCTATACAGGACTCTCAAAAAACGATGCTCACAGTTTCAGCGAATGATTCACAACGCAGAGCCACCGATTCATTTCGTTTAAATAACACGAGGTACTTTCAATAATATAAAAGAGAAGCGAGAAAAACAACCGTTAGTGCAACTTATAATTCATTCATAACCTCACTTCGATCATTCGATTTCCTAAAAATTATAAGAACACTTAATTTAGGCAAAAATTTTTTTCAGCGTCCTTTATATTTGTTTGGAAAATCACAAAGAAAATTGTAGAACGTCGTTATTGGTGAAGAAGAAACTCGAGTATCGGTAACGAGGATGGCTACTGTTCTTTTCTCAATGTTGGTTAGCTTGATAACCGAAAAATTTGACCTCGTGCTCGCCATGTGAGTGTGCGGCTAGTCCGTACGGAAATTCAGGGCGAAGGTTTCAGAGGTTCCGGTTACGATACTCGCTACAGGTCGTCGCCGCGTACACGCTGGTATCGCGGCAAGATCCGGGCGAAGGAGTATGTATCAGGAAGAATGGAAAGGGGAATGTCGGTCACTGGGCCTTTCCTCACGATGACGGTACTCCGTTTAGCGCCTCGGGGCCACCTAGGAATGTTGGAACAGCACACAACTTGAACAGTCTCTCTCTCTCTCTCTCTCTCTTTCTCCATCTCTCTGTACTTTCCTACTTCTCTAAATTGGTAACATTCGCGTCTGTACGTCTATCCGGGGCGCATCTCCACCTGGAATGCTGTGAAATAAATTTCATGCACATATAGTGCAACGTTTCAGACTCTCACAGTTGATTGAACGTAAATTATGAACACATTCTACAGAGAAGACTTTACAACTCGATTCATAACTTATGCACGAAGTCAAATAGTCGTTACAACGTAACTTTGTAAACCATTTTTATTTGTCGTTCCTTCGAGAACGTTTTTTCTTTCTCGATCAGGCAATCGATTATTCAGTCAGTTTGATTTAAAAAAAAACCTTTCATCGCAGAACCTGAATAATTCTGTACACAATTTGACCCTCGAAATGAAATTTTCATTAAAACACACCAATTGAGATATACGCTTCTATTTTTTACTATTAACAAAGCAGACCCGTTTCTCAGTTACATTTCAATATTACCACGCTTTGGCTACGCGCTCGCAAAAAAAAAAAAGGGAAAGAAAGAGCTTAAACACACAGGACCTTTTTAATTCCAGCTTCAAAGCGCCTCCAACCTTCCATGGCCCGGTATTTACCGCTCTCAGCAGGTGTTACACTTTTTCATGGGTTATATAAAACCGTAAGAGTTCAAGCTCGTATTTAGCTAGTATGCTGGTAAATCTTTAGGCTTCTCTTCGAAATGTCTCTTGAAAGAGTGCCAAAAAGGAATGAATGAAGATAGAAAAATTCTAAGACGTGTGTTTCTATCATTTCAGCGCAGTCTGGAACGCGCAGAGAAGAGGAGACAAAGAGAGAGGGAGAGAGACACATATACATATATATATAGAGAGAGAGAGAGAAAGAGGGAGAGAGAGAGGAAGCTTTGCAGTTAAGGAACGTTTACGTTAACCGAACAATGCCGTTTCCGTTTGTACGATGAACGAACGAGAGAGAGCAACCAGAAGCGTTGGCGAAACGGGCGCGGTTCACTGCATATTTCCGTGGCGGCGTAGTGTAGCCGGGATAACGCGAGTACCGTAAAGGTGAAGAAGCGGGTCGTTGCCGGATCGAATTCCGCGCGTACCAGCCAGAACCACATTAATTTTCAGTGTGCGCGCTAGAATTACACCGGATCCTTTCGTTGAGAAAAATGGAAGGTAAGAAAGATGGGTGTGTGCGCACTTCTATTTCTCTCTCTCTCTCTCTCTCTCTCTTTCTCTGCATCAAATGCACGCCAGGCTCTCTCCTCTCTGCGGATGCAGCCGCGCTACAACCGCACTTTTTCGTGTCTACAGGTAATACTACAGGAGTACCGTAAAGTTCGAGGAGCAATACGTTCCAGAATCGAATTGCGTACGTGTCTGTGAAGAGCCAACATGAATTTTTCCCAGGGTTCCCCCGTTGTGAATTACACCGACTGTTCTTTGAATAAAAAAAAAAAGAGAAGAGAGGAGAAAGAAGAACTAGTAAAGAACACAACTGGGGGAGGGAGGAGGGACATACTGTTCATCGTTACAATACAGAAAGCAATGAGACTCGGCCAAAAGGCCGTTGACTGCGACATAAAGTAATTCTAGATGGTTTTGGGTCATCTGGTTGATCGATGGTCCGTTTCATCTGTTATTGAAATGTAAGCATCGAACGTAACATCATCAATTTTTACGTTTCCCTGGCCATGCTACTGGCTGAATTCAAGCGCGAAACGAGTTGAAAACAGGGAGAGAGAGAGAGAGAGAGAGAGAGAGAGAGAGAGAGAGAGACAGAATCTGTTGATCTATGGATGTACGCAGTTCGTCTGCATGATAGAGATATGCTCGCATGATCGATATTTCGAGGCAGTTACGAATGCATCGTCGTTGATCCATAGGTGATCACAGTTCACCTGTCTGATATAGAAACTGGTCGCGTGATCGATACCTCAGATGGCTCGTTGCATTACAGCGTCAATTTGTTTCGCGTAATGAATGAAATAAAAGAGATCGTCGTGCCGTTTGATGGATGTTTTTTTTTCCTCCGCGAGATACTGTCGGTGGCTGTAAATAATGTTTAAATTTCAATCGGGAGTTTGTTCGAGTTAAAAGTATTAAATGGGCTGTAATGCTCTCAACGAGCGAGGCACACAAATTCACAGTTACGTTGACACATCATTCCTGACGGGGTTTATTTCGAAAATCTCAATTTCACAGATAAAACATACACGCGAACGAATTCAAAGGCGAAAATAAAAAAGCTATATAAATTCCAAAAGTAACAAACTCCACCGATAACTAGATTTTCCTGGCGTTTTGAGAACGGTAAAATTTTTTGTTGGAAAAACGTCCACGAAAAAATATGAAACCCCAAATAAATACGTGTGTAAAATGTACCTGAAAAAAGAAAAATATAAAGCTACAGTGTACAACTAGGAAAAAGAGAGAGAGAGAAAAGTATGAAAACTGAATAAAAGTTTCGTTTCGTGTAACCAGAAAAATTTTATTCAATTGAAAATTCAAATTCCTACAAACCTAACCTAACACGATATCCAGCCAAAGATATTCTCCAAGAGATCTTCAGTAAAACCACCGAAACGAAATCTTACAAAAATACAAATATAAAAATTACCTGAAAAAAGTAAAGCTACAGTATACAATCAGGAAAACGAGAGGGAACAAAAAATGCATGGCAACTGAATAAAAGTTTCTTACCGTGTGACCGAAACAAAGGAAAAACAAAAAAATACTGCAATTGAAAATTCAGATTCCAACGAACCTAACCTAACAATTGCAGCGGAAAAAAAATTCTCCACATGAACGATTGTATCCAGAATGATGTTCGTTGCTCGTTTGCCGGTGTTTCGCCGGTGTCCAGAGGCTGGCGTACATCGACAGGGCCGTAGAATTCTAGAAGGGGGTCATCATACGAGGCCGGCTCCGCCGAACGCACCGAGCCAGGACAGTGTACGAACGTCATTCGGCGCGGACTGAACGGCGAAAGGCGCGTTACCTGCGAGCGGTACCGCAATTTCGAATCTACAACTTCTCACCATCGCGAGTCTCTTAGTTTCTTTATCATCACGTAGAACACGATTGGCATACAGTGGGAACGCGATCAACTTGATCGATTAACGATTAACGATTTTCGACGTGAACAGTGTTCGATATTTTTGCGAGGGAAAATCGTCGAACGCAGTTTAGCAACAGAGTCAACAACAGGATTAATCGTGGTTTTGCACGTCTCCACGCGTGTGAATTAACAGAAAAATCGAGGTGAGTACGATGGAATTTTTTATCTATTTTCAACAAGTCAATTTTTTCCGTTCGCAAAGTGCCCTGTGCTTCGCGACAAATTCACATTCGTTCGATTTCAATTTCTTTCTTTCTCCAGAGTTTATACATATTTTTTTTTAGGTTAGATTTGTTTTTTGTGCTTCCGTGTTATTTATTTTGTTCTTTGTATTCTTGCAGAGGAGTTTTACGATCGTTTAAGATCCGAAAGATAAAGACGCGATATTCCGTGATAGATCCCCGTTCAGTTTTGATGGACGGATCTCCTTCGCTGCGGTTTATTCGCTGTTTTATTTACGACGCGGGAGAAAATTCTTCTTTCTGTGTCGAGTGTACAGGGCACTTTTGCGAGCACTTGTGCGATCCGCGGCGTGTATATGTGTGTTTAAGCATCTTCTTATTCTGGTTGATTAAAAATGCCCCGGCTAGAGCTTGATGAATTTTCATCGCGCGCGCGGAAAACTCAGCCCTGTCTCGGGGAAACGCTGACTTCGTCCGCGTGATGTCCATCAAGTTTGCATTATGCTTCCAGCTGGAATTCCTTGCTTTCTCTCTCTCTCTCTCTCTCTCCACGTTCGAGCCTCGCAATTTTTTAACCATCCATCTGATAAATATTCAGATGAAAATCCTCCCGTATTCCGTTGAAATTTTCATTTTCCCTATGCGCTGTTTGAAAGATTTACCTCACGACGTGCTCCTTCGGAGGTTGAATAAAATTTTGTTTTAATTATTCTATTATCAGTACCAACGAATCAGAGAGACGAACGAACTGCTCATGCTACTCTAATTAAAGTAACATTTTTCTAAGCTAGCAAAGTTGTTCTTTTTTTTAATTTTCATAATTTGTGCATTGTGCACGTGATATTTAAACGATTCTATTATTAATAGAACACGTTAGAATCGTTAGATAATTTTTTATTTTAATCTATAATAGTTAAATTCGTTCGTTTATGTTACTTAAAAAATGTTATTTCCAACTAGCTCTATTTGAATTTTCATAATTTACGGTTAACGTAAGAGAACAGTTACTTAAACAATCCTTCGACTAATGTAACAAAAGTGAAATAAAGAAGAGAATTCTCCGTTGCAATCGTTATAATCATTAAAAAAAAAAAAGATTTCTCTTAGATCGTCTAACCGAATCGCTTTTATTCCAAAGAATTTCCTATTTATCTACCGAAATTGAAATGAATTCTCGTTCGAGTACTCAAGTGGGACGTGTACGTTCCACTGGCCACGAAAGGGTTAAATTCTCAACAATTCGATCGTTCCCATGAACTCAGCAGATCAAAAAGATACGACAATGTTCTCGCGTACACAGCATCCCTTGCAGAAAGAGAAAGAAAAAAAATCACGAAACACCTCATTATTTCGAGCACGGTACACTGATATCGTCGCATAAATATTCCCCGGCACAATGAATTAAGGGTATCCAAGCTGAAAATGAAATTAACCTTTGGCTATTTTCATTCGTTATCCCGCGTCGCTGCAATTACACCGTTTCTTGCTCTGTGGCGTCGAAAAAAAAAAAGAAAAGCGCGCTCCGGATAAGCCTGGAGTCACGTGCTCGCGATTTTCCCCATTTATTTATCATCCTTCCCTTTTCTTTTTTTTTTTTTCATTTCCCCATTCATCCAGCTGATCCGCCTCGGATCTTACATTACACGTCGAAGAAATTACAAACGGTGAAACTGCCGCTTGGCGATCACACTCAGACTCGTTTTCTCGCGTACACACGCGTGAAATTCAAACGGATCGAGCGGTGTTTTTAAATCGATGCGGCGAGTATAGAAAAAGGTCCACGCAACGAGCTGTGTGCATTACCGAGTCAATTAATTCTTGTGAAATCCACTTTGCTACATGTCCATTTGTGCGTGCACTTTCTAAAACGTCGAGAATGCAATTTCTACGGGTGTAGTGTGTGTAGAGTCGATGGAAACGATATCGGCGAGGTCGTAAAAGAATCAAGTCGAACGTTAATTGTACACGTGATCACGGTTGCGCCGAAAAAGCAATTCGTTGGAGATAAAGAGCACAAGGCTGTTCTCAATGGCAATTCTGGAATGTTGGTTCTTCCGGTGCGATGTGTGTATTTTTGAAAAAAATTTGGCCGAGCTTGAATCGCGTTGACAACTTGTACGTTCATTTTTTGCTAATAGGGGAATTACTTGCGAGAAGGAAAAGGGGTGAGACTTAACCCTTTAGCGCTCACATTTTTCTCAATTTGATGCGCCAAATATAATCAACTTTAGTTCCTCTTTTTATTACTTCTCAGGCGTATAAATTTCAATAATTTATCTATATTAATATTAATATATTTTCTATCAAGGCAGAAACGTAAGTTACAGTATTATAAATAACAGAAAATTGATTTCTACACGTCTAGGATACAATTAATATTAATAAATTTTCTATTATTTACAATACCGTAACATACGTTTCCGCCTTAATAAAAAGAACGACGGGACATAAAAAGTGAAAGAAGATAATTAAACGAAACTCCATATATCGAAGAATTAGTTATTTATTTATTTATCTTATTATATTTTTATTCACAGTTATGCACGCGAGACACGAGCGTTGAAGTGTTAAGGGGAATCCCCGAACGGACGCGAAATATTGCCTAAGCTGTTTCTTCCAGCAACGAACTACGAATTTTTCTCCTATTTTTTCTTTTGTCGTCTGAAATTCACCGAAGAGTATACACAGGATGGAATAGATTTTTTTTTCTTTCACGCATTCGATGCTCCACGTATTGTGTATGTGTCTCTGCTAGACGATGTGCCCCGTGTATTAATTGTCCCTTGCTTTCTTTGCATTCCCCCTTGTGGCAAACGATTACGTGCGTCTTTTGTTAAGGCCGCAGAATCGATGCTGTGCTCAATGGCGAATGTAATCTTTGAAGCGAGGAGGGCGTTCAGAGTTGCGACTAGATCCTACGTGGAGGGAATGACGAGCGTTGCATTGTTGCTGCAAAATGTTCTCGTCAAGGATGCTAATTCTTCGCGACGCGAGAATTGTACTGCGAAGGCGTATCGATCATTCAGCTTCGAATTGTACAATTGAACCATTTATAATCGTTAGCAGAATTTTTATCCGCGAATCATGCCACGTGGAATTGTGCCTTTATTATTTCAACGAAGTCCTAATCCCGTTTTTAGTCGATTATTCTACTTTCAAGCTTATCATTGCAACGATAATTACCTTCAGTCGAATTTCCGACGTTTTTATCATCGAACAGTGTCACGAACAATTGTTTCCGCCGTTTAAAGAATGGTCGGTTTCTAGAAATGAAGGATACTATTTTCAGTAGAATTTCTGACACTTCGACAATCGAATAGAGAGTGTCACGAATAATTGTTTCCGTCGTTTAAAGAAAATGCTCTTTCGACGAATAGAAGGAATTATTTTTAGTAGAATTTCTGACACTTCGACAATCGAATAGAGAGCGTCACAAAGAATTGTCCACGTCGTTTAAAAGAAAATTCTACTTCCATTTCGAAACTATTATTCCCCTTATCGAAGGGTGGCTTCGGTTCAGGCGCGGTATTTATGATCATCGCATCTGGAATTACAATGTGTGCTCACGGAAGCGGGCTCGGGGACAACAAAACGCACCATGATTGCAATTTTGAAGCAATTGCAGCGCCCGGTAATGCGAATCGATGCTTGTGAACGGATTACAGTGGCTTTCGTCGGTTTTCTATAATTTCGCGTTGCTTTTTCCGAAATAGAATATCACACTTGATATTGTAATAGAATATCACACTTCGTTGTCATCTGAAATTGTGTCTTTCAATCATCGTTCGCGACACTCCGTTCGATTTCGTCGTTTTTTTCATTAATTCGTAAAACGAACGCGCGTTTCACTCGTTTGCGTGAAATCGTTGAAAAAACGCCACTCTAATTATCCCGAACTACCTGTATCGAGCAACTGGAACTCTGTAAATAATCGTAATCGATATTCGTCAGGACAGATAGAAGGGGAGAGAGAGAAAAGCCAGTAAATCGTTCGGCTATCGAATTACTCTCTCATTTGCATGAATTTCTGCCGACCACCTTGAAGCTTCGTTCGAATCCTGTTAAAAAACACCCTTCGCGATTCGTTTTCATGGTAAATAGAATGTTTCTCCGATCGGATACTTCTTTCGCCTGTATCATTAGCGAGGAATATTTCCCCGCCGATTGTTGTCTCAAGCCAACTCGTTCGATTTTACTCGTCGAGTGGCGTTTGCATTGCCCTCGAAAAACTGCAGGAATTTTCATTGCTTAGCCGTGATTCTCTTCCCTCGTGATCGATATGTGTACGTGGTTTGTTGCAAATGTAACGAGATTATATTCGTGGAAGTTCTTTTAGTTACAGGTTCAAGAATTGAAGTGATTGTCTTCGGAGTAGCTTATTTTAGAAACGATAAGCATTGGAGCAACGTTGGAGGTTTTTGTTCTTTCGAGTGTTCGTTTGATCGATTACGGTGGTGTTTTAAAGCATTTTGGATTGTTTATTCCATATGGAAATTGTTTCAGTACTTAGAATAATTAATTTGAGATTAATTTGAGACACAAGCCGGTAATTTGTTAAAATTAATTTACAAGCCTTCGTTCATCTGAAGAAGAATTCATATTTTTGAAAAAGAGGGGAGATTTAATTTTTATAAAGAACTTAGATTTTCTAAATTTTTTTCTACGGATAAATATAAATCATGACTTAGATAAAAAGGGTAGAAAAGTAGGATCGATAGAATACTGCAAAATTCTTAGATAGATCCAACAAAAACAACTGTGCAAAGTTTCATCAAAATCAGTTTGTATCACTTGCAGAAAAATTGTCAGAGAAATTCCACCCAAAATTCATCGAACTCTCGTCCATCGCAAAAATTAATCGCTAAATTGTATATCCATCTTGTAACTTCTATTTCACTAAAAAAAAATGAGTAATCGCTCTGTATAAAACATCCTGAATAGAACATTTGAACGGTCCTGTA